GGGCACCACTGCGGCGGCTACGACAAGCTCGGGCACCGCACCGAGTGCTGCTGCGGCGTCCACCAAGAATGCGTTGACCCAACGCTGGCGCAGCAGTGCCGCTGCACGACCGTTGTGACTGTGCCCGCTAACCTCTCGGGACTGGAGATCGTTGTGCTCGTCGTACTCAGCTGCATCGGGCAGTGCGTCTTCTGTGGCTTCGCATTCCTCTGCTACGGCACCGACTGCCCGCTTCGATGCAGAACCGCGATCGTCTCTCTCTCTCGGCGCATCGTCTCCAGCTGCTCCAGAGGTCGTCGTTCGGCGCTGCAGCCGACGAAGCGCTCGATGCGGTCGTCGCACACGCTTCTCGTCGACGATAACGAAGGCGCATAGGCGGGGCAAGTACATCGAATATGAGTTTGATGACGTAAATGCGCAAGCTGTCGAGCACACCTTGTTGTACATTTATACGACTATAACATGTAGACTAGATACTACGAGCCCCATGTACCCCACCCCTATCGCGAGGTTGCCACTACTCACCGTCGTCTCAACTCGTTCGGATAGTGCTACTCCGCGCGTTGGCTCGCCTTTTGTGCAGTAACCTGTCTCGATGCAAATGAGCTGTCGTCGACCACGTTGAGTGCAGTCGCTGGGCTCTGGCGTCGCACACAGGAGCATACGGAGGTGTTGTCCCTTCCTTCTCTTCCAACCATCAAGTTGGTTCGTCCCACCACCGCATGCTTGTCGGAACATCTTCCAGTCTACAAACTGTTCCACTTCAACATCATATCCCTTTTTGCCGTAGACTCGCAACTTGGCGTCTTGAATCGACCACCGCGCGCCTTGGGTATCTGCAGGCACGAGCCGTGCGTCCTCATCTTCGGGCTCGTCCTTGACCTTGGGCGCGTCCTTGACCTTGGGCGCGTCCTTGGCCTTGTCCGCCGTCTTGCACCGGCACCACGATAGCAGATCGATTTGGGCTTCTTGCACAACCGCGATGCACCCAGCGATGCCAAAGAAGAGAAGCAACTGCACCAGAATAAGGACGACGCCCGCGATGACGTACACGATCACGAGGACCACCGCGTCCATGACGAATTGCAGCAAAGACGTTGTTCGCAGCCAGTAGAGTCCATGCAGCGTCGGGTCTGTCTCGAACCGTAAGCAGTCGCACTGCCCGTCGGCGTGAGGCATGCCGCAGACGTCGTGCTCGGCGCAACAACAGAGCTCTTGGACGCCGTACGTCATGTTGTAGGCGCCACAAAAGCGCCCGGGTTTGCCCAAGAACGCACCACTGCAGTCACCACCGTATGCACAGAGCGCGCAGGTGGACGCGTCAAGTTGGCTGCTGGCGACCGCGTCAAGTTGGCTGCTGGCGACCGCGGTGCACACGGCCAGGAGAAGAAGTCGCATCCGACACAACCATGCCATCATCGACGAAAACAAAATCGTGTCCCACTCTTCTCCAGACGCTGGCTTTTCCGACATTGCCGTTGGTGAAATCGACGACGTGTGCGCACTCGCATCGTCGAATGACAAAGTGGTGTTGGCTTCAAAACGGGATATGTCCTGCGGACCCTTGTTTCCATGTAACTAGTACTACGGCGCATTGTCGTCGTCTTCGTGGACCAGAGCTGTGCGCGAGGCACGCTTCGCGCGTGGCGTCGTACGAGGAGCCGAGCGCCGCTGCGTCCACCAGGACCGAATACGTCGACCCAGTGCGAAAATGCAATCCACCGTGTGGATCATAAGCCTGCACGAGAGGGCGACGTTCAACAACACGATTGACGAGATTGCAACGATGAGACAATGCGCGAGAAAGTCCAGTACCGAGGCCTCTGGCGGTACACGGACAACGGTCGTGCAGCGGCACTGCTGCGCCCGCGTGGGGTCGACGCATTCTTGGTGCACGCCGCAGCAGCACTCGGTGCGGTGCCCGAGCTTGTCGTAGCCGCCGCAGTGGTGCCCGGGCCCGCTTGCGTGGGCGGCGCTGCAGTTGCCCGACCGCGCGCATTCGTCGCAGTTGGTGGCCATCGCCAACGTCGCCAGCGCCGCAAGCAGCAGCAACGCCCCAAGCTTGGTCATGCTGTTTGGTTGTCGGTTGAATTTCGCTTCAGCCGTGTTCACCTCGGCTCGCCTTGCAGTGGGACTACACTGTATTCTCGAAGCGACCAGCACTCCCACTTGACGAGCATGCAGTGATGGGCAGACACGTCGGCGAAGGATCTGCTGACCGGGCGATGGATGGGCCAACCAGCCGCTGCAACCTCATCTCAACGCGTCTCGGATTGGGTGGCCCTCGCTGCCTCCAGCGAGCGACCTCGTTGAGCACGCCGCTGACAGCCACACCTTGGCGCCCCGTCTTTACGTACAATTACGCCCAGCAAGTAAGCGTTGCAACGGTCCCACCAAGCTGCGACTCCACCGCCAATCATATCAACTAGAACGCAGGACCGCAAAATGTAAATGGACTTGCTGTCTTCTGTCGACAGACCCACGACGTCACGGGTTTCCATTCATATATATAACACCTAACGACTAACGACTACGCCTTCCAAGCACTAGCATCGCGGCGCGGCGAGCTGCTCGAGGGCCGTCTCGCACTCGACCAGTTGGTACCACAGATCTGCTTGCTTGAACGGCAGTGCGTACGCCTTGAGGGAGGAGAGCAGCTCCGAGAGCGTCGGAAGGCGTGTCCGGACCGAGTCGGGGGCGTCGTACAGGGCGCGCTGCCACGTATCCAGTGCCAAGAGCATGTCAAACATGGCGTCGCCGTCGAGGCCAAAGGTCGCCGCGGCCTCGACAAGCTCGAGAAGCGTGTCCAGGAGCCACTGCGCTTCCGCAAGGTCGTCGTGCGTGAGGCCATCATCAACGTCGTCGTCGTCGTACTCGTCATCGGACTCGTCTTCTGTCTCGTCGGCCGACGCGGCGCGCTGCTTGTCCAGGATCGTTTTGGTCTTATCGAGCGCGAAATCAGGAAGGCGCATGCTCACATCGTCGTGGGCCTCGTCGTCCTCGGAGGTCGGGGCGAGCGTGCGGCTCGACTTGGTGACGTCGATGAACGCGTCCGGGGCGATCTTGTCAATGACTTTGGCGCCGACCGAGCCCGTGATGCGGGCAAAGAGCGAGAGCAGCATCGTTCCACGACTGCCAAGGGGTCTGAGGGGGACGGGTAATATTCGGTTGTGCCATCGTCACAACCAGTTGCAGCCAAGATCGCCAGGTAATATTTCGCCGCGTTTGATTGGTGGGTTCAGTTGGGTGCGTCATAAAATGCAAACTCGGGTGCTTCTCTTGAAGTTTGTATTGAAGGACCCGAACATGATTTACTCCAGCCCCGAGGACCACGACCCTTCGCACAAGCAACTCGCAGTACGGACTGTGCCAAGAGCGACCGCTTGTGACGACGCTCAGCGCGGCTCTGGCACCGGCCTTGCAACCCGCCTTTGCCCGCATTGGAAGGGGTTGCTGCTGACAACCCTACCCCGGATCAACGAAAAATGCCAGAACCACGACACACCACACGCACGAGGATGGCCTGATGATGTTGACGAGTAACCAGATGCGACGTCCCACAAGCGCTGAACGTCGTGAGATCCAAGTGCTTTTGACGAGATTTCTTGTTAGTTGAGCGGCAAAAATTCATCTTCGATAAACATGTACTTGACCGTGCGCTCAAACACTATGGGCAGCAGCGACTGCTTGAGCTGGACGTTCTCAATGTGGTCGAGGAGGTTGTCGTTGGTGATGATGCTCAGGTTGTGCCGCTCTGCGTACCTAGTCCAATACTATGAATCTAATACTATGAATCGAGATGGCTACTTGAGCAAAAACAAGTCGTCGTCGACGCCGGCGGGCGTCAGAAACAGCACTTGCTTCTCCATCAGATCAAAGAGCACATCGACGTCGTCGGCCAGGTTGCCATCGTGGCGGCTACGCGCGTTGCGTCACGCTGCTTATATCAATCGCAAGAGGACGAGATAGTACCTCTCCACAAACCGCTGGGGCAGGAACGCGATCGCCCGCGTGCTCGCCGCCTTGTTGTAGTAGCTGAGCGCGAGCGCGAGGCCGCGCGCCGAGAAGCGCTTCTGCTTGCGCTTCAAACGGCCCAGATTTCGCCCGTGAAAGTAGCCAATGTTGGCGCCGTCCAAGAGGCAGTCGAGCGACCGCAGCCGCTTGGTCGCCACCGCCATCTTGTCTTCGAGCGCAGGCTGCGCATGCGACACGTTCTGAAACGCCGGCGGTGGCGGTGGTGGCGTCGTCGGCATTGGCGGTGCGACCGTGGGCGGAGGCAACGGCGGTGGTGGCACTGACGGCAACGGCGGAGGCATTGATGGAGCCGGTGGGCGTGGAGCCGGTGGCAACGGCGGCGTGGCTACCGGCGCGCTGGCACCCGCGCCTTGCCTGGCAAGCGTCACTGCCGCCACCCGCGCGGTGATCGCCGCCGACTCGTGTTCATAGATACGCTCCGTCACGGCCTTGTGCTCGGCGGCAAGGGCCTCATGCGACGGGCCATGCGTCACTGGTTCGCGGGGTTCGCTCAGGAGACGCGCATAGATCGACGGCGCCTTCTCCTTGACTTCGAGTTCTGGCTTCGGCTTCTTTTTTTTGCTCTTTTTGCGCTTGGTGCTGTCCGAGGCGACGGCCGGCGCCTCGTTGTTGTTGCTACTCGCGTCGTCATTATCGTTGGGAGGTTGGAGGCCGGTGCTATGCGACGCCGTGACCGAGTGTTTCTGTGGGCGCAGCTGCAGCGACTCGGCCAGCGCGACTTGCCGCAGCTTGGTTTGCTTCCAAGCGGAAACGCCGAGCAATTTCGAGCCGAGCTTGAGCACAAGCGTGAGGTTGTCATGCGCCTCTTGAAGCTGGCCGAGCGCCTCATGGACGCGGGCGTGGACGAGGAAGCAGTCGATCTGGAGGCGCTGGACGTCCTTGCGCACGGACGATGGCAAGTCGGGTGGCAGCGTCTGCATGTGCTTGAGCAGCATCGTCGCACTACGCCACTCGCATGAGCCATGCACCTTGGCAAAGGACAGTACCGTTCAATGTCGTCGCTGGCAAGGGCAACGCGGCCCTCTTCACAGTAGCACCATGCGCGACCCGAGAAGCACTAGACACGTCCTTTATCATACCAGGAGCTTTGGCAGAGGTCTACCTTGACGAGCCGGAGCACGTCGTCAAAGATACCGTACAGAGCGACCTTGTCGTCGTCATCGCTGGCGTCGATGCGCCGACAGCACTCGATAAACTCGGACTGGATCGCCATGCCATAGCAGTTGATGGCGCCGATGAGCGCGTCGGCCGACGACACGGCGCCGTGCGGGTGCGTCACGAGGTTGGCGTACATGGCTTGCTCAAAGCCCGGTGAAATCAGCGCCCCGTCGAGCACATAGTACGAGCTCTCGGCGTCGGGGTGCACCGCTTGGCGCAAGATCGTAGCCACAAACTTCCAGTTGATTGCATTCGGCGAGAGTGCTTGAAACTCGATGAGGATCGGGGTCATGTAGTGGCCCATGCGGGTGACCATGTCGGGGACGTGCAAGAGAAGGCTGCGCACCATGCTCAGGTACGACTCGTAGCACGAGTCGGGCTCGTTGAGCTGCTTGTACACGAGCTTGTGCATGCAGATCTGGAAGAGCTTGGCCGCGTACGCTGCTTCGTCGCATGGCAGAATCGTATTGTTGGTCGCATCGACGTTCGCATGTTGGACGACCGTGTGGATCTGCTGGCCCGCGATGACGTACAAGTGCGACGCTTGGATCCGCGCAAACGACGCTTTCTGGAGCGCCGAGAGCACGCAGCTCTCGCTGCACGCCACGTCTTCGAGCCGCTGGAGCAACAGCAGGAGGTAGTCGACGAGCGGCGCGCGGCGCTTCCAGTCGAGCGGTTCACGCACGTGCCAAATGTGCAGCTTGTAGAGCACAAGCTGCATTAGTCGATCGAGGACGTAGATGGGCTGCGCCACCGACCCAAAGAGCGACGGGTAGTGCGCGCAGATCGCGTGCAGCCCGGGCGTGTTGGGCTGCACCAAGTGCGTTTGCAGCAACTGGACGATCTGCACGAGCCGGCCGCGGAGCTCGTCCGAGATGTGCTGGCCAATGACGCGCGGAAAGAGCGACAAGCCGAGGCGCACGGTCGGCAAGATCGCGATCAGTGGCAGCGGGATCCCGAGCTGCAAGAGCGTGAGCAAATCGGCGCTCTGCTTGTCAAAGTTCACGGCCCGCGCTCGCAACAGGTGCAGCGCCACGAGCCGACCGCGGAGCACGCGCTGCAGTAGGCGCGCGCAGGCTTCTTCATGGCGGACGCGCTCGCGCTCCTCGCGGGCCAGGCGCGCGCTCGCGACGAGAGACGCCCGCGACGACGCCGCTTCCAGGGTTGGTCGCTGCCACATGTCGCCGAGGTGGTCGCGACGAAAGGATTGGTGGATATGCCTTCCAATACTGGATTTTTGCGGATTTGGATTGGTGGAAAGAATTTGTGAGCGCGTGATTCGTCAAAAGTCGTTCGGCCCCAAAGATCCCAGCATGAGCCTTGTCTGCGGCGTCTGCAACGAGCAACCGTCCAAGTACAAATGCCCCGTCTGCCGCCTGCGCTACTGCTCCGCGCCATGCTACAAGCTGCATAAGGACGCCGCTTGTGGGCAGCCGGCCGCGCCTGCCAAGGACGCGCCGGCGACAAGCAGCAATGCCACCGCGACCACGCCTGTCCCTGCGCCAGTGGCCAGCGAGCCGTCGCCTGCGCCATCGGTCACCGAGGCGACGGACGTCGCGCCCCTCCCGACAGACATCCTCGAGCCGAGTAGCGCGGCGCCCGAGCCCACCAGTAGCACTGACACTGTCGTCGCCACACCAGCGATCGTCGACGCTGTGGCTGCTGCGGTCGAGGCCGTTGCTTCTGCCGAGCCCACGGACGACGACGCGAAAGACATGGACACGGCCGAGCCTCTTGCCACCGACACGGACATCGCAGAGATGGTCGACGAAGCGCTGGCCGTTGCTCCATTGGCCGCCGACGACGAAGAGAACATCCATCTCTTGACCAAGGCGCAGCTGCAAGCGATCGCATCGTCAACACTCGTGCGCAAGGCCCTCGAGAACCCGCACTTCCGCAGCCGCATCCAAGAGGTAAGCGCCATG